CTGGTGCTGTAGTATGGGGTGAGAGATTTGGGTGGGTGGGGCCTCTTACTGGTAGCTGGCAGTATAAAGTGTTCTGGCTCCAGCTGGCCATTCTCCCCTCCCCCCCCACCGTGGTCATTCTGCAGTATATCTGTCCCCTGCACGCTCTGTCCCCAGTAGTCATTGTGGAGCATAACTGTCCCTGCTTTCAGCCCGCTACCTGTCTGTGTTATGGAAAACAATCCTATTCCAGACACTTTCCATTTCCGCAGCACAACCAAACCCTGACCTTGCTTTAAGTTAGGATAAGAGGAAGCTGTATGCTGAATCTGGTGTGAGTGGGGGAGCAGGAGCTGATGCTGGGGGGAGCTGGCTTTAAAGCCAGTTTCCCCGAGCGCTGTCTCCATGGTGTGGTGGGGGTACAGGAGAGGCAGAGGCGCTGCCAGCTTTGCCTTTTAAATGTAGTAAAAGCCACTGAGCTCTTACTGCATTTAAAAGGCATAGCCACGGTGGGGTTTTGCAGTTTAATTGTAGTAGGAGCTGGGCTGCTGTGCACCCAGCTCCTATTACATTTAAACTGCAGAGCCACAGAGAGGGTAGCGAGTGCCCACCCATCAACTAATTGAATAGTCAATAGAAATTCCATTGGCTATTCGATTAGCTGATCAATTGCAATCTAACATCCCTAATACATACACGCACGCGCGCGCGCTTTATATGAATTAGGTGCCTCAGTCCCATTTGACTTTCATTAAGACTTAAGCTCTTAAGTCACTTAATCTCTTTTGAAAGTTTTACCCTAAGGGTGTGTCTAGACTACGTTCCTTTTTTGAGAAAGGGATGTAAATTAGTCACGTGGATATTGCAAATGAAGCTGAGATTTGAATTTGCATAATGGCAGACGCTGCTTTTTTCGGGGGAAAACCCGGTAGTGTAGAAAGGGATCTTTCAAAAAAGGGTTTTCCTTTCGAAAGATCCCTGTCTAAACTGCCTTTTTTTTTTCCTCCTGAAAAAGCCCCATTTGAAAAAAAGCGGCGGCCACCATTATGCAAATGAAGTATGGGAAATTCAAATCCTGGCTTCATTTGACATGCCTAATTTATATCCCATTCTCGAAAAAGCGATGTAGTCTAAACACACCCTAAGTGACTTGCCCAGGTCATATAGAAAGTCTGTGGTGAAGTGGGGGATTGAACCTAGTTTGCCTAAATGCTGGCTAGCACCTAGCCAGTGCACCATCTAGCTTCCCTCCCTAAATGCCCTCAAAACACCCATCTAGCGGTGCTGAAACTTCAGCTTTACCATGGGAACAAAACAAATTTGTAAACTTGATATGTTCCCAATTGTCTTTATTTTAATTCCTGCAGAAAATTGCTTATGCAGAAATAGACTAAACACTGTGAATTTCATGCATGTTACTGTCTTTTTCCTAGGTGGGATTGGAGAAGCAGTGTCAGGTGCTCTAGTTGGAGAGCCTGGTATCACAGTCACTCGCTTGGCTGTATCCCATGTGCCAAGAAGTGGGAAACCAGCTGAGCTCCTTAAAATGTTTGGCATTGATAGAGATTCTATCATGCAGGCTGTTAAAGCAGCAGTTTCTAAATCAAGTAATGCAGAGTAGTTTGGAGCATCACACATTGTATTACATAAGACCAATGTTCAAACCTATTCTGTAACTTGGACGATAAGGTTCTTAAAATATTCACCAAGAAAATCTAATAAAACAAGATTTAAACAAAATAGAGTGTTAAATCATTTACTTATAATGGATTTTGTACAGTGTGTTGGTGTCTCACTATAAACAGTGTAGTGCCTTTCTGGTCACTTCATAACTGTTTTGGAATGTCAGTCTTTTGGGAGGTGGAACATGCCTCCATTTATCTCTCACCGCGTTTTTATCACTTTAATTGCCATGTTTCTGAGTTACTGTGTTTTGTCAGGGTTTATTTTCCTCCCAGGCCAGCAGCTCTCTCTGCTCAACCCTGTAATTGGGTCCGAGTGCTGAATTTGTGACTTTGTGTCAATATCTGTTGAAAGAAGCAGCTAAGTCTCAAATGCAGGAATGTACCAAGTAGGAGGCAAGGCTGGATTAAATTGTGAATGCAAAGACAGCCCTGAAACAGGTGTATACACTGTATAATTTCCCTCCCTCCCTCTTCTCACAGGTCTTTGTATTTTCACCAGTGTGGTACTTCCCAGCAGTACCCGATAGGGATGAGAAGGTTTAAGCCTCACCAGTTAAGATTAATCAGTGGGGCTGGAACAGCTTTCTTATCTGCCTCTTTTTGTGAGGCACCCTGCTACCGTCTGCCCTCAATATGGGGGTGGGTCTTGACTGTGCCTGTTGTGAATAAGCTCCCTCAATCCATCAGTCTCTGGCACCACAAGCATTGCCATCCAGACTGTCCCAGGGCTCAGTCTCTGTACAGTGACAGCCTCACACTGAGTGTTGACTGCTCCAAGCGTCCCTCTGGAATGTTCAGTTCCATATCACTAGACACTCGCAGAACTCGGGTTTCACTGCAGTACACAGCGGTTAGCAAGGCCCAACTCAGGATCACTTAAGCACTTAGATATGCAGATAATGAAAACAAGGGTACATTTATTATTCAAGAACAAAGCTTAAAATTATAGAAAATACAAGCATTGGAAATAAATTATTACATATAAACCAAAATCACCACATGCTTTCCTGAGCCTAAACTTAACTCCCAAGATACTTCTCTAGCAGCTACTAGTTAGTTTACTCCAAATGCTAGTTTTACCTGGCATTTTCAGCTAGGGTGGCTCAGTCTTCCCCTACCCCTTTCATAACTCCTCACCAATTGAAGAATAATTGGGGATCATCTGTACCCTAGGCATAGTTTCAAAAGTTCATTGTCTGGCCCCTAAATAGAGTAACCCTTGTTCTTGTTTTTTCCTGCAGCCCCTGCAATCTGTCTGTTTTGCTCAGACAAAATGAGTGTCCATTGCGAACCATACAGCATTCAATTTTCACATGAGAAGCATCTCTTCCTAAGTATATGTGGATTACTCACAGACCCAGGAAATACAACTTTTAGTATATATACAGAACTCCTCACATTTTTCATACATATATCTTATAGTGGTTGTGATGGCCAATGTGACACAGGTTTTCACTAGAGACCTTACATCATGTACTTTGGCAGACTAACGTGTAGATACCAGATCCTGTAACGCTTGTATGCTCCAGTGTTTTGTGCCAGTTGGCATTAGGAAGTCTTTGGGTCACATCCATTAAAAAGCTTTGGGATGAGATTCTGTGCTTTAGCTTTGAAGAGGTGCAACACAGAATTAGTAGCCTGGCACAGTGGTGGGCTAAAGTGCTTTCAGTGACCATTGCAACCTCCTGATTCTGAGCTTTTCGAGGAACAAGAGAGGCCTCCAGTATAATTTCGACAGCCATGGGGATCTAAGGTACGGCAACCTCCTGGGCATATACTATGGACCACAGCACTTCCAGGATCTCTGCAGTGATGCTGTGGCCCTGCCCCTAATGTACCCTGCTACCCTTGGCATGTCCCCTGTGACAGGGTTTATAGGGTGTCCTTGTAAGTGAGCCTGCTGTCTGCCTGTGGGGAGGATATTCTCTTCCAGACAGAATCAGAGCTTTAAGGCTCCTTTTCATCACTCCATCCGTTTTACCGAGCATAAAGGAGTGAGAGTAGAGGAGAGGATCTCACTCTTGTTCTTTGGAAAACATGTTACTGAAAAGCTTGATTATCTATATGCAGTGTTCAAAGACCCACATAGGAGATGCTGCCCATGGACAAATGATCACAGCTCCTGCTTTATGAATTCCAATTCACCTCGCCCGTTGGCCCTGAGTTTGATTAAGCACAGTACAGTAGATTACAATTCTGGCAGAACATTATTTTCAGTATATATACAACAGAGGGAGGATGTAATGTTCCTCTTCTCTGTCGCTATTAAAGACAGCTTACACGAGCTGCATCATGGCCTTCCAGAACAAGGCACTTCTGCAGCAGAAGGAAAGGAAGATGTTCCTTAGCCTTTGTTATGAGAGCAGGATGAAAATGTTCATAATATTCTAATAGAAAAAATGCAAACACCCTGCCTCACAATTAATGTGATTCCTGAATAAAAAACTAAATTAAGCAAAAAAGGTAAATAGGATTAAAAATAAATACATAATTTCTTTTCTCTCTAGTCTCCTGAGCAAAATTGAAAATATAGATCTTTTGTACTTAAAATAGGCTGCATTGGGTTAATATCTTAAGATATGCCTTTTTTCCATTTCGTTCTTTTACTTGTACCTCCCCATGCATTTTTGATGCCTTCATATACTGTCACATACAGTGTTTCTCAACCAGTAGTACCCTTGGGGGTAGTTCCCTTAGGGGTACTCAAGAGAAGTCTGGGGGGTACGTCAACACAACTGAAATTTGGAGAAAACTGAATTTTTGTTTTTAAGTGTTAGTGTTATTATTTTTGTACTTTTTATACCCCAAAATTTAATCACCCGCCCGGCTACGATTAAGTTGTTTAAACAAATGTGCTGAATCATAGGAAAAAAAGTATGTCTGAAAACTAGGGACTGGGGGTAGTTGTGTGTGTGGTGTGTTCTTCAACCAAAAAAAAGGGGGGGGCGTACTTTATAAAAAAAAGTTGAGAAACACTGATGTATAACATTTTAACCACCTTTTTCTGCTGTCTTTAGTGCTTCCCAGTGTTTATAGGCCAACAAATTTTTTTTGGGGGGGAAACTATAAAATGACAAGTGTTCCCAATCTGCAGGGGGTTTTTTATTCTTTTTTCATCAGTCATTTTGTATTTCCTCTAACTACTGTCACAAGAAGAGAAATTAAATTTGCTGTCACTAATAATAATTTTCTACATTTTACCTAAATACTGTGTGTAACATCTCATCTGGCTTTCATTGCATGTAGTCATATTCCAAGCATAGTTTATCAAGGTCTGCTACAATACAGTCATCTAAATCCAAAGTAATTGTACTGTTGGTGCTCAGCTGTGCAAGCAAGCAGCCGAGAGGTTTGGCTGCTTCATGGTTTCACAAGATGGGGAGAAAGCAGAATTTCTGTGTGCCAAGGCTGACTCTTTGAGGAAAGTTGCAAACAAAGTTATTTGAAAACAGCCTTGACTAGTCCACTTGCTCAGATAGCGCTCTTCAAATGCAAGACTCTAGCCAAAGGGAAATCACTCCAATCAGTACTGGTGCTAGTGGGGATGTGTAAGTAGGTGCAACATGAAAAGTAATCCTACCGTGCACCATTGGGGGAGAGAAAGAACCCCACAAAGGTTTCCAGAGACGTTTTAAAACATCAAGGGCCTGATCCAGAGCTCAATGAAATCTATGCAAGCTGTTCCTTAATTTCCATAAGCTTTGGATTACACCTCTCAAGTTGGACTGACATCATTATATTGGGGGGGGGGGGGGGAAATAACATGGTGTGTGTAGTAACCCTTATAGCTTAAAATGCATTTATAAACTTAGCCCCACTCTATTTTGCTTGTATTGAGCCACAAATCATGTCAAAGGAAAGAATGGACATCCTGTACCACAGTTTTTATTCCTGAGTAGAGAATAACTAATTTTATGATTCATGCTTCAATATTTTAGGATAGCCATTAGATTTTTATGACCCTACCATGAAACAGCTTTATTAACTTTAGTACAATCAATCCAGAAACCAAGGACGTGTTGAACTCTCAATCTTCTGTTCAGTCAACTTTTCTAATACCTACATGATGATACAAAAAGCAACAACAAAGGATTGTCAGGAGTATTCCATTCAAATTAACTCTACTGGGCTGACTATTAACCTCCCCAATGCCACATGTCTGGATTTTCATATTTAGACACTAGCTGGAACTTGTACAAAGACCAAAAAGTAGAGAGTTATCCCAGCTCAATCACATTTCTTACTTCTTGACCATGTTTGACTAACTAAAGTCCTCTAAGTTAAGAATGTGAAAATACTCTGCCACTTACAGTTGGGAGAAATGAATTTCTAAATAAATCTGGTTCAAGGAATGAATGACAGTTCACAGTACAATCTTTTAAAAAACAGACATTGCAAGTCATAGATCTAGTTCTTTGGCTCCAATAGAAATGGGGTGCTCTAAGCTAGCTAGGAAATGTGTCTCTACAGAATAAGACTGAGCAACAATGTGGTGTTACCTGGTATTCTGAATCTCTGAATCAGAGGAATGAAACCCTCAAGGACACTGTGAATTCGATGCACTATTTAAAAACAAAAATACAAGAGTTGTTCAGGACCAGCTAAACCTCAACATAGAAGAAGTGAAATAGAAAAGGACAAGAGATGATTGAAATATATAAACCGTTTCAGTTTGACTATTTAAACTAGGTCATTGTGCAATTCAATTCCTAATCAAATGCTGTAAATAAAGTTGCTTGCTAACAAAACAGTTCCACACATTATGTGTCTTCATATTAAGTAAGTAAAGAAGCTTCTAGTACTCTGTGATGTAACAGGAACTGTTAAGTTTCTATTAACTACTTTCCCACAAAGAAATAATTTGAGGATCTCCCTTTTTCTCCCTTTTTGGTTTTCTTTTAATTATTATTTTAAATAGCAACATTTGAGAGTCTGTTAACTAGAGAGCCATTCCTGCAGGTGTGCTGAACATCTTTAACTGTCCTTTATCTCAGTAGGAGTTGATGTTGTCCAGCATCAGAATCAGACACTGAGTTACTTCCACCTTGCTCTATGTTGTGAGGATAGTATTATTTAACCCATGCTGGAGATGTGTCTGTATCTTCAGGGACCTTGTGAATGGTAAGCAGGGAAAATGAGTCAGTATCTCATTCCAGATGTCAGAGACCAATTCATTGCCAAATATGGCATGGAATTCTGGATGTGGGGGAGGATTATATGATATTTTACATAATCTCAGTCATTCACATTTTTCTATATCTAGTTTTTACATGATCATTTAAACTGCACTTCTCAGGTACTGATAGAAAGCTAGTTGTTTTCTGAGGAACCATAAAATACACTTACCAAAGCCAAAATATATTCCAGTAATTTCTAGAGAAGCAAAGATGACAAAACCAAGACCAAGGGAAACGATCCAATCTAAAGAGAATAAAATAAATGTACGTATTTGGTTTTGCTCTTGTCTTCCAAAATACAATAATTGATCCTTATACTTAAGTCCTGTTTTACCTTTGTAGTTGTAAAAGCTAATTAGTACGGCTCCAATGGCAAAACAAAGAATGACAAAATGAAAGAATAGATCTGAAATAAAAAAGAACATATCACTAAAATCGTCATACATTTACAGCAATAGCAGTTACAGTAAATCAGTTCTTTTCCCATCTCAGCCACATTTTGTAGTTCTACCAGACTCAAGTGAGAAGCATTGTGCATAACTTGAAGCATAAGTAGCCTGAAATAACTTCAAAATGATTAGTCATATGCTTAAAGTTACACACCTGCTTAAGCCCCTTGTTGAACTGAAGCCAAAGCCCTCTGGTCAGTTTTTTCTTTGGCCCAAGATTCTCTAGGCTTGGGATCAGCTAAATAAAAGAAGATTCTTACCATTTTTCCGTATTCTTATCCACTGTCTTTGACATTTCTGAAGGTAAGTAGCCTTTTCACAAGCTAGAGGAAAGTGACACCACTGTTAGTACAACTGTAAGTCTAAAAAAGATGTTTTGAGGGGTTGTTTTCTGAATTGAATTTTGTTTTGAAAAGTATTGTAATATTGGTCCCAGGAAAGACAAACAACTGCTTTTCAAAAAAAATTAGTGATTATATAAAGATGTATCAAAACCCCAAAGCAAAATAGAACTTTTAACTGTGAGGATTTAGAAGGAGCTATATTATCATGCCACATGAATTAGGAAAACAATAGTTCTCGGCTACAGCTACACTGCTGTTTTTTTGCAGAAGAGGATATGTAAATCACGCTCGCATTTGCAAATCTTCTGATTCTTTTTGCAGCAGAGGTTTTTCCAATAAAAAGCCCTGTGTAGAAGGGGCCATTTGTCGGGGGGAAAAACCCTCTTTCACAAGACCCTGTAAACCTTGATTTAAGAGAATTAAGGGGTCTTGCAAAAGAGGTTTTTTTTCTGATAAATATCCCTGTCTACATGGGACTTTTTATTGGAAAAACCTCTTCCGCAAAAAGAATCAGAAGAAGATATGCAAAAGCGAGCACAATTTGCATATCCTATTCCTCAAGGCAGTGTAGCCATAGCTTTAAGAAGCAGACATTCCTCTGGCCCTCAACACTCCAGCTTATCAAGCTGGACACTGATGATGTGTCTCAGGTCTCTGCTGAGATCCAGGTAAACCAGAATTTTGGCTAATAAGGCATTTCAAATTGAGCTTGAAGGACTTTAGTCTGTTTTCTAGGGCCACAGATACTATAGTGGAATAAACAAAAAATACGCATTATAAAGATGTGAATAGAAGCTGTTGAAGTCCAATGATTAAGGGTGTGACAAATACCATAAAATCTCAAGCTTAATGAGCACTGATGTATAATGCACACCCTGACTTTGGAATCTTAGCATAATGAAAAAATCTGAACTCCTATGTATAACGCGCCCCAGGGTTTGAAGCCAGTGAGCCTAGCAACCCCACAACTTCTGCCAACAGGTGGCTGTCCCGCAGCCAGGAGCCGAGCCGCCAGCACCAAGCCCGCTTCCTGGAGGCGGCCCTGGGCTGCAGGAGAGTGGGAGGGAAGGACACGTCGCTCCCACCTGCAGGCTCGCCCGGGAGGTTCGGGCTGCACCGTCTGTTCCCTTCCTGGTGCTCGCTGAGCTCACACCTGCCACAGGGACCCCTGGGCGCAACCTGAAGGAGCACCAGGGAGGCAGTGGTGGTGCCACCAGCTCCTCACTGCAGCGGGAAAGCTTCCAGGTGCAGCCTGAAGGAGCACTGCGCAGGCAGTGAGCCAGGGCGCTGCCAAAATAAAACTTTAAAAAATAACACCTATATATAATGCGCATCCCGACTTTGACCCAAAAAAAGTCAGAAAAAAAGGGCGCATTATACTCGAGATTTTACAGTATGGCATCTTCCTACAATAACCTGGACAAACCCTATTGAATTGTGAAATCTGACTTAAGTTTAAATATCTCAGGAGTTGCTTGTATGAAAACTGCAAAATGTGTATGCATTAGTGTGGGACTGTAAGTAACGCCTCTAGGAAGAATAGTGCTGTGCACTTCAAAGAACTGTTTGGACCCATGTGAACCTTTAAAGTGAAGTGGGTTTCCCAGGAAATCCCTGGGGGAAGTATCTTAAAATATAATCCTAGTTTTGCAACTTCCCAGCCTTTTGAAGCTTTGCAAAAGGGCCCTTTTGGCTGCTGATCACCTTTTACACGAGGACACAATCAGAGACGCAATTGTATAAAGAACTACTTCTCTGACTCATGGTGGGTTGGGGGAGTGTGCTTGTTCTCCGGTAAGGTGGTTATAAACTTGAAACCATAGGTAAACCCAGGGGAGGGATCTGAAAGATCTGCTAGAACTCTAGTTCAAGTTGGGGTGATCTCTAGTAAGCTTATTAGCATTTGTGTAGATTCTTTTATTGTTTTAATATGGTTTTCTCTGCAATTCTTCCACCTTAAGAATAAATGTGCTTGCTCAGAAAAAAAATGCTGTTCATAACCTCTGGGGAAGGAAAACAAAATTGGCCTGCTGGAGCAGTCTGACTTGCTGGGGAATTCACAATGGAAACAGGGAACTTTACAGCCTAAAAATACCCTGGTTCTCCTCCAGTAAGAGGTAACCGCAGCGGAGCTAGTCTTAAAAGGGGGTGCCCAGCCTGGATCATGTAGGTCAATACAGGTGCAGTCCCTACGTAAAAGAATACATGGACACAAATCACATATCAGGAATGGCAATATACAAAAACCGGTAGGAGAACACTTCAATCTCCCTGGACACACAGTAGCAGATTTAAAGGTAGCCATCTGGCAGCAAAAAACTTCAAGACCTTTTCTATATAGAAATTTGGCAAGGATTACCAAAATTCACTGTGAGATACTGTTCTTGCGTTAGGCCGGGACTGAAAGAAATCAGAAAGGGATGGATATTTTACCATATTTCTAGCCAAACCTTGAAATCAAGTTTTGAAGAGTTTTTTTTCTTTTCCTATTTATTGATCATTTGTTAATTTTACTCATAGTTATACAAATTACTGATAACAGAACAATTGTATAAAACAGTAATTTTGGTTCATATGGGTTTTCACTGTGGGTTTGGAGATCAGATAGTTCTCCAATACCCAAAGGTACATTACTGAAATCTACTGTATATTTGAGACAATTTGTCTGTGCATCTATCTATGTGTCTGTTTTTCTGTTCAAGAACTCCTCTTAAATGGTAAGAGTTAAAACCACCAAATTCAGTATACAGCTTCCGCTTATCATAACTTATAAAAATGTAAGAGTTTGCTTGTGCCGGGAAAATGGGATGTGACTAGAATGGTATTGTTCTAGTAAAACCATACAGAAAAGAGAATCACTGGTTGGATTGGGGTCACCCCCCCCCACACTTCTTGTCTGGGATTGCCCCAGTCCTGGGCCTCCCACCACCCAGGTGCTTTTTATATCTCTCCCACCCAATTCATGCAGGAACATTGCTGGTTATTCCCCTTTGTCAGGGAGCCAGGGGAAAGTGCACAGTTTGCTGCATTCCCCACTCTGGCTGGGGAGTGCAGGGGGCACACGAAGTGGGACCTGTCTCAGAGGGGAGACATGCAGTCCTCCCCCGGCTGTGCCTCCTGAAGCTGCAGTGGCCATGGAGAGGTGCTTCTCATCTGGCCCCAAGCTACTGTAGTGAGAAAAGGCTGGGGTGGCCCTCTTCCCACAGGACAGCCTGCAAACTGAACCCCTCCTCCTCAGTACCACCTCAGAGCAATGATTCAAATGAAGAAAATCAAACATTGAGTTAAGGACCTGTTAAATCTTCTAGTACAATATGCATGAAAGAGAAAGCACACATACTCTAGGCTAGGGAAAACAGAGCTTCTTTGTTGCTTTTTTTGTATATTTACCCACAGCAGGTGCATTTTCTCTTCTTGCAATCTCTGAAAAGCAACAAAACATTAGGACTTAGACCCTTGTAGCATAAAACAATAATCAATTAATGTCACACCCTTCGAGAAAACTCACGTGCCTATTTACAACATTTAGAAACAATGGGCCTTTTGTCAACAGCTGGTTGTACAAGAGACTATTCCCCACCATTATCCCAGGGACAAACAGCATTAGTGACTCAAAACAGAAAAAAGTCGCTGAAAAGGGCATCTCATTGGGCTGTCCACATCAGATGATGGAGCAAGTGAGAGACCAGGTCCCTCCAGCACCCCAGGAATTCAACACTAGGAACAGGTAGCAAGAACATTTTGGCTATTCACAATTGCTCTGACTACTGCTGTCTTTAAGGTGGCTGAGTCCCAATCAATTTAGAGATTTATAATTCATCCCCACTCTCATAATTGTCACTGGAAGTCAGTGCAGCCCAGCATGGAGCACAGGTGTTACGTGTATGTATCGACCTAACTAGCATATAAGGTTGGCAGCAGTGTTCAGTATCAATCAAATATTTCCCATGACTCCCGGGCTAGTCCTGCACACAAGTTGTCTAGCCTGGAAATTACCAAAGTGTGAGTAACTGGTGATGTCAACATAAACATAAGAATGGCCGTACTGGGTCAGACCAAAGGTCCATCTAGTCCAGTATCCTGTTTGCTGATAGTGGCCAATACCAGATGCCCCAGAGAGAGGGATCTCAACAGGTAATCCTCACATGATCCCTCCCCTGTCTCCCACTTCCAGAGAAACAGAGGCTAGGGACACCATTCCTACCTATCCTGACTAATAGCCATTGATGGACCAAATCTCTATGAATCTATCTAGCTCTTTTTCTGTTAAGGTTCTAGCCTTCAATGCATCCTCTGGCAAGGAATTCCACAGGTTGACTGTCCACATCTGAGGAAAAAAGGCTGCATCTCCAGCCCCACCAAAGATACGGTGGATAAGGTTCAGGGGGAGTGGTCAGATGTGCTCATTCCCTCTTTACTTTCTAGACCAGCCAGGTATCTTACCCAGTCCTGCTAACAATGAATCGCTCTCGAAGGACTCCCTCCTAGAACCACTTTTTCCTTGCCTCAAACGGCAGCAGCATCTTCTGTCCTCAAGCCCCTTCCAAATATTGCAATAAAAGTGAGTGGCTGAGCAGGCATTTTCCCAAAATGGCCAAGCCTTCTCTCCAGCGCACAGAACCTGGTTGCTAAGTGACTCAAGTGACAAATCTGCCCAAGGAGCAGGAAGGATGAAGTGGAGAATGCATGAGGGCAATCAACTCTGCCACTGCAGTATCCTTAGTGCGACAGCAGGGGGCACACAGGCCTTTAGTAAGGTTAATGCTCTTGCTGCCGCATTTCAAACCATGGTGAATGGAATTAGGCTAGGCTAGCAACGCCTCTACCTGGATTTTCATTGGCTTTTGTCCAGGATCCTATTTCAGCCAAGTTTTTCAGTGTATGGATGCAGCAGGGTCTGGGGAGGGGAGGAGGAAACGGCACTGAGTATCATCACCTTACTGAAAACAAGCTCCAAGCAGCTCTCCACATTGACCAAGGGAGTCAAACAACAGGATGGAGCTAAGGGAAATGCCACATGCGAGTGTCCTGGGGCAGAATGAATTGTCCTTCATAATCACTAGGTCCCTCCTTAAAAGGAATGAACAGAACCATTGTATATGGAGTCCATCTGCTCCTGGCTGGTCTAACACACGAGTCACTATCCCCTTGTCAGCTCTACAAAAGGCAGCTGAAAGATGTCATAAAAATCAGCATCGACCTTTGACATCCGTCAACTACCACAGAGCTAACTAACAGCACAGAACCCTGAGAGCCAGGACTGGTGGCTGTACACAAACTCTATGGGAATGTGGGAAAGTTGGCCACACCCTTGATAAGTGGATATCCAGGTAACTAAAATCATGTTGGACCATGGATGTTGCCAGACCAGAGACTGCCAGACTAGAGAAGTTCAACCTATATTCTCATCAGGCTTAATGAAAAATATTTTAGCAACACCAGAACTGGCACAAACATTTTGTTTTGGCCATACTGTCATAAAAACCATTTGGATATGGTTTGGAAGTCCTGGCCCTTGTAAACACCTTGTTTCTGCACTGTCTTTAGAGATGCTGCCATGGCATAGAAAGATCAGCAATATCTGTCTTAATACAGCAGAAAGTTGCAGTAATAGGGTCTGTGTTTTTTCACACCACTCTATAAAGAACTACTTCTAAAATACAATTCACTTGGTTCGAGCTGTTAGAAAGTTAATTATAATAGGGGTCCCTATGGGAAAGAAAAACTTATTTGCATACCACTTCCATCTCGATTTTCATGGTCTTGGTCTTCCTGACTTTGCTTATGAGAAATTGGCTTAACTGTTGCCACAGAGACTTTTTTCTTGCCAGCACTGGTTGCTAATAAGGAAAAAAATTATAGTGAAGTACTACACAGAGTTAGCAGCTTCTTCTGTATGTCCCTTAAACTACTTTATGAGGTGCCTTTGCACAGGTTTCAGAACACACCATGAACACCTTTCAGAGTGCAGGCAAATAAACATTCACTTGGTGAGAAATCTGAGAAAAGTCACTATTGTTATGCACTGAAATGTATCTTTCTGGAAGGAATGTGCATTGATACACCAATAAATCACTTTCCTCACAATACCTTTTTAAGCTGCTAAAACCTCTTACTTATTTGTGATGGGATGCTCACCCACACCAGATTGGAAGAGGTTAATTGGAGGCCTGGTGAACCTACCACACCTTATCCCAGAAAGAAGCAGAGGAGGAAAATCCTCCTAGCAGCCTAGGGAAACTCTGCAGGAAGCAGCCACTTGGAAGGAAGCTGCATGAAGCAGCCAGTCAGGGCCCAGCAGGCTAATACAGAAAGAGGGGCAGGGCAGTTGTTGTGGGAGCCCAAGAAATGAGGACTGTACTCCCAGCAGGTTGCAGCAGAGGTAGCACCTTAGAGAGAGTAGTTGTTGGCAGGTGCTGGGGGAGGTGGGGGATCAAGAGGCAGTTCCTAGCTAGCTGCTGAGATTTGCTGTCTGAATGTCCTGAAAAGAGGGTGAAGAAGTTACTGGAGTTATAGGGAAGTGGCCCAGAGAACTGAGGCAGCATAGAAGGAAATTAAGGAGATGCAGCAGGAGGTGGCTGTCTGCAGGGTCCCTGTGTTGAGACTCACAGCAGTGGACAGGGACCCCCATTCACCACTATGGAGGTGGCCAAGTGGTACCCATCACAGATGGTGATGTGACCAGAGCCATGGCTGTGTTATGAAGTGGATGCTGCGGGACTTGGACTGAGGTAGGTCTGTAGATGGAAAGGATGACAAGAGAGGCACCACCTGGGTGCGCTGGGTGGCAGAGCTAATCCCCATGACGGTTAGTAGGAAGAGCTGCTGTAGTGAGTGGGCCCCATCATGCCCCTCGTGAGAGAAATCTTTAGAGAGGACTGAATAATAGAGGCAGGTTTGTTTTCTCTGTGGAAGGAATTAGAGGAATATTCTCTTCCTCAGCAGCTTGCCTCTACTTCCTTCCACAACCATAGTGCCAGCTTCTTATCTCTTCCCTTCCACTTGCTGACCTTTCATCCTTCCACCCTAATTCCCAGAGTTGTTGAGCTGTTCGTTGTGCCCATAGTGACTAGCAATATTCATATACCACCTCTCCACTGACAGCTACTATTTTGCACCTGATGAATCTAAAGATGTTGATTTTTTTACATCTCCATTTTGCATAGTTTCTTATTTCAGAGCCTGTTGAATCCCTGCAGAAATCGCACAGGATTCTGTTGTATAAATCTGAGCCTTTAGTCAGACTACCAACTGATATTTTTAACCACTAAATTCAAAGCAAAAGCAAGACAATATTTCCTTGTACCTCGTGGTTGTGTTTCTGTGGGCTCCCACGATGTCCTTTCAGCCTCACTTTCTTCCTGTGAGAATCTGAAGATTTTTTCCAATTCATTAAGTAGTTTCAGTTTTTCATCTGTTAAAATATGGACACATTGGAAACTAATATTTAAGGTCTTCCTACTTTACAGCCATGCATTATTAATAATGGAGCTCCTCCAGGAAAATCAAATCTTAACTTTTTTTCCTTTCTAGTATACATACATCACTACATAAGGGAAAGCATGACCTAAACAAGTGTTCAAATGCTATCTTGACAATTAAAAAAAAATGTTTAAAATGCTGTTTTGGTAGAAGCCCAAGACATCTTATCATGGACTTTACCATGTCCATGCTTTAAATTCCCATGAAAATTCACACTGTCAGACGCAAACACAAGTAGAACAAGAGGGGTGGTTTTGCTGAAAGGCTTAATTGTTCACCAACTTCTGGGCTGCTATTTTCCCATTATAATTTTGATCTAATTGTGCTGTATCATCACCACTTCTTGTAGCCATAAGACAGAGCGCTAAATGTTGTGCTTGCTAAACCATGCTGGGTTCTGAGAATTGGGTTGTAGGCATATGAAAAATGTTTCCAGAGAAAATTTTCCAAAGAAATTGGCAGTCACTGGTGCATTTTTGGTAATTCTTCATGGGTTTAAAGGTAATGTTGCATAGAGATCCTGAACAAGGCCCCATGTATCCGATTACCATTATTTATTTGTATTAGTGTAAAGCCAAGGATCAGGATGCCATTGCGCTAGGCACTATATAAACACAAAACAAAAAGACAGCCCCAGCCGCACGAGCCTCCTTCTGTTGTGATGTGGGTTTTCGGGGAGTGTGGGAAATACCATCAATTTCACCCTTTTTGAATGTTTAATAATCAGGACATAATTATTCTGGAACAGCTATTTTGGTACATTTCTAAGTGTAACTACACTGGATCAGTCCCTCCTATATGTTCCTAACAGAGGGGAGTGAAATAGGTTCAGCAAAAGCCAAAACTACTGGCAATTTGTGTTCTTTCATAACTCATTACAGATTTGAATGTGGGCTTATGTCTCACATGTTTTGCCATGTTTTGTAAGCTTTTGGCTCAAAAATAGACCCTTTTGCCATTCAAAGAAACCTGTCCCAAACAAAGCCAGGCTTTCAGATTCAGAGTCAACACTCCAGATTCTGTACATTTCCTATTCAAAATTAGCCATGTTATCAAATGAGACAAGGCAGACAGACTGACCATATAGACAATGGTAAAAACACATGTATGTGAAATTTTGCTACAACGTTTCCACAAGTTAGGCCAGCTGTCAGCCCAATGCAGCAGCTCAGTGCACTGCAGATTTGATCAGTTGGCCAGCTGCAGTTTTTGTGAGAGTTGTTTTTTGCTCTGATTAATCTAATCAGTATGTGTGTGTGTGGTGGGGGAGGGAATGGGGGACACGGGATGACTCTGATGTCAATTTGGCATAGCTGCTTTGACTTTGCCACTAGGTGAGGCTCTTGACCCAAAGTGGTTAATACCTTTTTCCACACAAACCCTGCAAAGTAGAGTAAGTACAGTCGCCATCTCTCTAAATAGCTTCTATCTGGCACTTTCTCTATTCACTTTACTGTAATCCACTTCTGTTCCCTTCCCAGCACACGTCAGTGTTTTGAAATAAAACCAAAGTCCTGGTCTGGCTGTAGCCATTTTTAACAAAACAGAGCGATTACGCCTTGCCTACACGCTAGACTTGGTCTGGAAGGATGTGCAGACAATTAATACTCACCATTTTTCTTGGAGCTGGGCAACTGACTGTAGGCGGATTGATCTTTCATCTTTAGCAGCAGGTAAAGCACAACCATTGCATTCTCTCCTTTTTCCCCTACGGTCTTCAAGGAGGCTGCACGTTCATCAGCTGTGTTTATGCCTCTGTTAAGGAGCTGAAAGAAATGTAAGTTACTCTTCCAACAGGCCTAATAATAAAACCAAGCACTTACTGTTAAAGTGATTTATAAGCATCAGCCAACACACCTTGAGAAAACACAGGAATACCCTTATTTACAGCAGAGGAAACGTGGTGTGTCCAAGACCAAACCTGGGATTAGCGCTCAGAGGAGCTTGGCTTCCAGTCCAGTGTTCAGACCATACTGCTTTTGCCAAGCTACCGAACAAGCACTCAATGTGGCATGGTGCCAGAAGTGATGCATGGGAGGGGCATACATGGTCATATGCCCCTCCTTAAAATGCCAAGGGGGGCAAGGGCTCAGCAGCAAAGCTGGAAGGGAAGAGGCGGGGCTACCAGAGTCTTTTCTCTTCTGGTTCTGACCATGCTGCCTGCCTGGGATGCTGCCCAATGCAGGGCAGGGCAGGGCAGGGCAGTGGCTGCACTCTCTCATACAGCTGCTATGCTGCACTGGGCACTGGCCCAGGCAGGCAGTGTGGTCAGAGACTGCCTGGGAGACTGCACAGTGAACAGCCCCCTCTCCCAACAGGTAATGTGCCATGGGGAGGGGATGGAGAGAATGTGAGGTGCCCAAACTGGGGACAAGAAAAAGTCACTGGGGGGCATGTGGAAAGGTCATGTTTCCCTCCCACAGCTGGTACCCCCTTTATGACCCTCCCACTGGCCACCCCTGCATGGCACAATAGCATTAAACTTGTCATCCTACTCGGTGGCTGAGTCACTGGACTGGAAAAGTATTGAGCAAGTTTCTGGAATGGACATGTGACCATTTGAATAGCTTTCCAGACTACCTTATAAGGTCACCATTAGTGCTCTTGCTTTAAAGAAAACAGGTGAATAGATACCGAGAACTACACTGGGGAGCTAACATTTCTGAAGGTTAATTTTGTCTCAGTTGTAGCAATGAAAGTAAATCCACACTTTGGGCTTGATTCTGACTTTAACACAAAGGCCCTTTTTTGCAACTGTGCATAAATGAAGATCAGGCTCTATATTTTATCCTCCCAAAGAAGGGTGGACAAGCAAATCCATGCAGCCAATAAGGAAATAATATTTTACAAAGAACAAAAGAAAATGAGGTTTCCTTAGTAACTTACATTGTGGGATTCTTCAATGGTCAGACAGGCTGGATTAACGGTGGCTAAACATTTTATTAACAACTCCCAGAAGGACTGGTTCATTGCCTCAGATGTTTCCAGGTAATCAGCATCAGCAGTAAAAGCTTTCTGAAAAATGTCTGGAGGAAAGATATTTGTACAATTAAGAAGAGTGCACACAGGGCAGTCTTGTGATGAGGTGTTACCGTCATGCTCTTACATAGCTTTGGTAATGGACAGGTCCCTATAGTGTGCTTGGCTTCTAGGGAAAGGAGTAACATGGAAGGCATTTCTTTATGTCTTTTCCTCAGCCTCTCCTCATAAGTCCTCCACTGGAGTCTCTCCAACGTGACCTAAAAAAATGCCTGGTTTGCCCAAACTCAACAAGAGAATCTCATAAGTTGCTAACACAGTCTTAGCACCTTTGTAATGCCATTGTTCCCTTGGAGGAAGAAGAGGAAATACCTTTTTTAAGCTACAGGCTGTGACAGGGACAGAGTGGGTATCAAAAGGTACTGGTGTGAATCTGCTAATCAGGCAGTACTGTCTGAACGCATCAACCCACTTAGGCTATGTCTACACTACAGGATTCTTGCGCAAGAGCACGTCCACGCCTCAAAGCGCATCGCAAAGGTGACGTGCTTTTGCGCAAGAGAGCGTCCACACTGCCTGGACACTCTATGGGTTTTCCCATATGGGTTTCTTGTGCAAGAAACCCCTCTGGAGCATCCACACTTGCCTTTTCGCGCAATAGCTGTAGAAGAATGTCTTGTAGAAGGAGGTTTACCTACACCGGCAAAAGCCTTCTATTCTGCCGTTTTACTGCTGATTTACTTGCGCAAAAGCACATTTGAGGTGGGGACACTCCGCAGGTTTTTGCACAAAAAGGTTGCAACGTAGATATAGCCTGAGGGTACATCTAGACTGCAATTAGACACCCACGACTGTCCTGTCAGCTGAGACAGGCTGCAGGGCTGTTTCCTTGTGATGGAGGCATTCTGGCTTCGGCTGCAGTCGGACCCACAAATGGGGAGAGATGGGGCAACTACCCCAGGGCCTGGTGCTTGAAAAGGGCCTGGGGCTCCTGGCCGCTACTGCCACCACTGCAGCAATGGTGGCAGCCAGAGCTCTGGGCCTTTTAAATCATCACTGGAGCACTGAAGGGCTGGCGGATGGCGTAGCTAGCCCCAGCCCTGCCCCTTCCGTCTGAGGCCCCACCACTTCCAGGAGCACAGAGCTGCCCCCCACCAGGCCCAGGGGCTGACAGAACTGCAGCCCAAGCTCTGGCATCCTCTTACCTCACAGGGTCCTAGAAACCAAGCTCCAGCTTGAGTCTAAACATGGACACTTCAGTGAAACAGCCCCAGAGCCTGAGGTTCAGGAGCCTGATTCAGCTCGCATGTGCAAGCCACAGGATTCTAATGGCAGTGGAAACATCCCCGGTGGGTAGGAAGGGTTGAGCTCAGAATAGTAAGGGAGCAAAGTCAGATTAAAGCAAGCCCCTGACTGTTGAGCTGCATTTGTGGCATATGCAGTAGGAGTGATTCTGATTTCTGGGCACTGAACCCTCAGTTAGGGTTGCCAGATGGTTTCAGAAAAAAATACCGGAAAAAAAAAGCCAGGAAAAAGTTTGTTGAGCAACCCCCCCCTCCCTCCCCCGCCCCCGCCCCAAGCAACCCCCCTCTCCCTCCCCCGCCCCCGCCCCATCACCACCAATGTGGCCCCTTTAAAAACTGTGTGGTGAGGCTTTTTGGCCCTAACAGGCTACCAACGGCCACCTTGCCTCCCTGCACCTGGCTGGACAGCTCCCTGGTAAGCATTAGGGTTGCCAGGCTGCCTCCATATTGAGCCAGACAGCCTGGGATTTTTGCCTCCTGGCTGGAAAAAAATCAGAAAGTACTGGACATTTTAGATGTCTGGTATTTTCTAATTTTTTTTTACCAGACAGGAGGCGAAAATACCGAACTAGCCGGTTCAATACTGGACACCTGGCAACTCTACCCTCAGTATAACCATGTTCCTGCCTATCTGTAAGGGAATGGCAGCTAAGGGATCCGGGATGGATGATTTGTCCAGATGACACAACACACTCTTGATTTCACTCATGGGGATTTAATGTTTATTCGTTCATTGTCTGTTCTCGTTCTTAATCTCTTTGTAGTTTGGGGATGTAACACAATGGGTGACTTCATGGACTTTGTGTCTTAGCAGTGCAACATGCCCCAAAAATGGAGGGCAAAGGTGACCATCAGTTGTCTCTGAGTTCTGGGGACTGTGCAGAAAAGTACCTGGGGATTACAGTGAATGAGAGGCTGGATATGAGTCAACAGTGTGCCCTTGTAGCCAAATATGCCAACAGCATATTGGGGTGCATTAGTAGGAGCACTGCCAGCAGATCTAGGGAAGTGATTATTCCCCTTTATTTGGCACTGGTGAAGCCACATCTGGAGTATTATGTCCAATACTACTCCCCTCCCCCATTACAGAGAGGATGTGGAGGCACTGGAGAGAGTCCAGTGGAGGGCAACAAAAAGGATGAGAGGGCTGGAGCGCATGACTTACAAGGAGAGGCTGAGGGATTTGGGCTTATTTAGTCTACAGAAGAGAAGAGTAAGGGGGGATTTGATAGCAGAATTCAGCGAGTTGAAGGGGGTTCCAAAGAGGATGGAGAGAGTCTGTTCTCAGTGGTGACAGATGACAGAATGAGATGCAATGGTCTCAAGTTGCAATGGGGGAGGTCTAGGTTGGATATTAGGAAAAACCTTTTCACTAGAAGGGTATGTCTAGAGTACATGCCTCGTCGACAGAGGCATGTAAAATAGGCTACCCGACATAGTCAATGAAGCGGGGATTTAAATATCCCTGGCTTCATTAAAATAAAAATGGCCACCACACTGTGCCGGCTCAACTGATCGTCAGCACAGCATGGAAGTCAAGATGCAGATCAGTTGAGAGGGGAAGCCTTTGTCGACCATTCCCATATGCCTCGTAGAACGAGGTTTACAGGAGCGGTTGATAAAGGATTCCCCCGTCGACCAATCCATGTCTTGACTGCCACGCTGTGCCGATGATCAGCTGACCTGGCACAGCATGGCGGCCATTTTTATTTTAATGAAGCCGGGGATATTGGTGTTAATGCCAAAATAGAAGTTAAAAAAATCAGAAGAGAAACTAGAATAAATGCAAGCAGCTCAGCCTGAAGTGGTGCCCATCTGCTGCCTGACACATGAACCTTCCGTGTGTTACAGTGTTTTCCAAATGGTGATGGATCAAAGCATATTTTCAGAGGGACCAAGTTCTGCAGCACAACAAAAGCTGGGAGATAGGTTGTGATGTGACAGTGATCAGACCTTGGCCTCCATGTTTCCCTTCCCTTACCTTGTTGCTTTTTGGTGAGAACTGGAAGGGAGAAGCTGAAGTTTTCCATTGCTGTGTCTGTAAAAACAGAGTTTTAAAATAAGCTTGAGCTTCTCTGTGCTCTCCCCAATGGGCATCGATGGGGACACAGAGCATGTCGTTACAGCACTTGGAATTCTGACATCACTCATACATTACATTCCTGCAGCCCTCACTTAGGCAAAACTCCCTTTGAATCAATGGGTGTTCACATGAGTGAGCACAGCTGGATTATGCCATGGGCATTATGAAAGAACTAGTGTATTATCCTGAGTAAAAATAAAAGAATTCTGAATCATAGAAGTTTTTGTTGCTATTGTAAAAATATTTAATTATTTGTCATAAGTGTGTGTAACTTAATGATAATTGCTCACTCATTAAATCTTCATTTGAGAGTCCTCATTCCTTAAACTGGAAATAGGGCAGATAGGGGGGATATGGGAAACTCTGTTAATATTTTCAGGAGGTTAATGTCATGGAGGTGAACTGAAATTATTTAAGTCGTGAAATAAAACATTTATTTAATTTGCCAGATTTACCCCCACCCCCAGATTAAGAGTTCTATGTATTTTCCTGTATTAATGAACAAGAAGCTATGTGTTGGAAAAGCCTCAGGTTGAATCCTTGCTTAGCCATATATTTACCATGTGGCCTTCAGCATGTCAGTATGTCTAGACTGGCGGGTTTTTCCAGGATACATCCAGGGAATGCGTTTGCTCTTCCGCTTTTTTTGCAGAAGAGCCAACGCACTCTTTTGGGAAGCCCTGTATACCTTGTTCTACAAGGAATAAAGGCTCTGCCGAAAGAGGAGGCTTTTCCTCCATTTGGCCCCGTTTACGCAATTTGAATAGCTTTTTCTGAGAAAAGAGTGTAGTCTAGACTTAGCCTAACCCACTTTAAGACTAACCCTAAAATAATACTTACCTCTCAAGTGTCTGCACAAACTAATTAGTTAACGATTTGTGAAGTGCTTTCAAGTTATTATTCCAGCTAATGATACTATGAGTTTCCAGAGAAGAACAGAGATTTCGAGAAATGCAGCTGTGCTCTGTTTAACAGTAGAAACTGGCTCAGTGAAAATATAGAGCCCTGAACTCTGGTTGCACAGGTTTCAGTTTGCTTTAGGTCACATGTAACATCAATTTTTAATCAGAGTACCCAACTGATTTTTATTCCCTGTTCACAATAGATAGGCCTGTTAGCCTGACACTACCTAGACAAGACCCAGTTTTCAGTTGCTTATAACTTTACCAAACTGAAATTTTCCATACCAAGTGTCTGTCCCCAGTTGAAGTTTTTTTGAAAATTGCAGCCATAACAGTTTAGCCCTTTCTTAGAACAAAGGTAGGAGAAATACATAGTTTTGCCCATATTAAAAAATTCTGGCAACCATTTCTTTGGGACAGAGACTTGAAACTCGGCAGGAATGTGCCTCTCATTGTCCTAAAAATTGCTACATGGATTTGGCCAAGTTAGATGCCTTTGAAAAATTATAGTTTGCACATGCTCAGTAGAGACATCAGAATGTAGCAAATAAAATCTCTGGTGAGTCCATCCACTCTGAGTGTGCTCAAACCTCTCACAGGTTTCAGAAGTGACCAGATGCCCACACAGTGACTGAGCATGCTCCAGCCCAAGGCTACACTGGTGAAGCTGTAATGGGCTGTTGTGGGCCAAGATGGGGCTGTTCATGGGAACTGAGAGCAGGAAGTCAGTCTCTTCAGTGTGCTCAGTGAATTCCCCTGAAGGCAACCAGGTAGCATGGAGGAGGAAGCAGTATGAGTAGAATGCAGAGGGGATCCAGGAAGGGAGAGGAATGGACTTGCAGCAAGGAGTCTGGTGAGACTGGGAAGGGAGAGAGGAAAGAAACTGGGCCTGGCTGGGAAAGGACTCTGCACCTGGAAGCTGGAGGGAGGGAAGGAACTGAGGCAAGGTTTTGTGGGAAAAAGAATATGTGATCAAGTCATTTTTTATATATGGGGAAGCATTAAGTTTGCACGGGTAACCTTCATTTTGGTATTTCCTAACATCTGAGCACTTAACCTTGCAAGGTAGTATTACTTTAATATAGTTCTTTGTGTGCAACAGTCTCTTAGATTAGAAAAGAAGTAAATACTTACACATTAAATAATTAATTATTGTTTTTTACTACAATGGGCCTGATTTCAATTCCCAGTAGTATCAAGCAGGAGTGAATGGACTAGTGAGAGGCAGAACTGATATTTTGCAGAAACACTGCTTTTAATCAAGGTGGAATATTTTTCACTTTAAATAATGACATTTTTATGCTGATGTATAATTCAGAGTATTTAATTTTGTCAAATTGAATTGAAATACTTATGGGTGCTGGAACAATTTGTATAGTGGTGGTGCTGAGAGCCACTGACCTAAACTGTGTAAACTCTGTATATAATGGACACAAAGTCAGGGGATACTGTAGCTCCAATTCCAGCACCTATGGAAATACTAGGGGAGAAAAGGGGGGAAATTATTTAACATAAGTTTTATCTCCCTTCTTGTGAGTCTGGGGATTTGGATATTTAATAACACACACTGTTAATTCACTGAATGTTTATAGTCTGCAAAAAACATTACAGGCAAGGGATCTTTCCTGCAATTTTCAGCCTGAAGTGAAACTTGGGTCACAGGGATGGGAGTTTAGCCAGTATATGCTTTAATGGGCTAATGCCTTTATTGTGTCTAATATATTTGGTACATTAGACAAAATACACTTTTGGTGCCACTCCCTATTCCAGGTATATTACAACACTCCTTAAGATTATTAGCGTACATGAGATTGAAAAGAACATTGCTTCACCCCATTGACTGTGTCCTTCTGCAAAGGACTGGAAAGAAGAATAAATATGCTGCGGATTCCTCAGCTGTGCCCTGATAAGGCCTAATCAATCCTTGCCCTTTAGTGCAGGGATTTTCAAAGGAGTGGAAAGGAATCAGGCACTTAACTTCCATTTAATTTCAATAGGATGTGAGCAGTCCTCTTGTGTTCTTTGAAAGTAAGTCTAAATCGGGACGGGCATTAAGCATCCTTTATTTACACTTTATTTACTTACACATCCACAGATCCGGCCACTCACAGCTACCATTGGCCACAGTTCACCCTTCCTGGCCAATGGGAGCTGTGGGAAGTTCACAGGCTGGGCCACTGCTTCCTGTAGCTCCCACTGACTGGGAATGGCAAACCACAGCCAATGGGAGCTACAAGTGGCCATACCTGCAGGCGCACAAGTAAATAAAGCATCTGTCAGCCAACCATGTCCAATCCATGGACTGCTTATTGCCCACCCTTGGTCTAAACACACAAATAATTACTTATTTGTTGTTAATTATTATTATTTTATTCTTCTTCCATGGAAAAGTCCATCCCCTGTAACTGTAAATTTCTGAGACCTGTATTAGTAGATTAGACACAGGAATGACAAGATTATATTGGCATTTCAGGTGTGATATTTGTTGAGGGGGAATGTTGGGACATGCATAATAGTTCTGATCTCGTGATGTAAATCAGAACGTAATGTCTCTGAAGTCTGTTTAGAATTACACTAGAGTAAAATTTGTATGAGATTAGAGTCAGGCCTCTGATGAGGCCTTTTTGTTTGGAGTTAAGAAACCATGTAAACAGCTGCCTGGGGAAGCCATTTGCAGCTCACAAGTTTAATTGATCCCACAAAACCCAAGAACTATGCTTTCTGATCTTGAGTGCCATCTATGGGCACTGTCTCTATTAAATGTCCATTTACACATGCAAAGACATACAGCAGTGATTCTCAACCAGAGCATACGTGTACAACTGAGATTTTCCAGGGGGTTCATCAGCTCATCTAGGTATTTGCCCAGTTTTAGAACAGGCTACATAAAAAGCACTAGTGAAGTCATTACAGACCAAAACTTTACAGATACAGGGGACTTCTTTCTATGACTCTATATATTATCCACTGAAATGCAGGTACAATATTTATATACCAATTGTTTTATTTTGCAATTATATGGTCAACATGAAACACTGCAATTTTTCAGTAAAAATGTGCTATGACATTTTTGTATTTTATGTCTGATTTTGTAAGTAAGTAGTTTTTTAAAGTAGTTAAAACGTGGAGTATGCAATACAAATCAGCCTCCTGAAAGGGATAGAGTAGTTCAGAAAGGCTGGGTGCCTCTCGTGTACAGCAGTCCTTTAACAGTCTCTGTTTATGTAGCCATATTCTTGTGTTGTGTGTGTCTACATTGTTGTTTTCAAAAAGCTAAAGACTAAGGTGGCTTTAAAAAAAAAAAAAAACTTCAGAGGACTTAATGCAGCCCCATAGAACTCACATTTATAACTGGAGAAAAATTAAAGCAAAAAACTTCTCACTTATTTAAGCTATTGTCTATCTCTTCACTACAGTGATAATTATTTTAAAATGACACATCAGAGGGATTCAGAGGGGTAGCTGAGTTAGTCTGTAACAGGAAAAACTTAAAAAAACAACAAATAGACTGGTAGTACCTTAAAGATTAACAAAACATGTAGATGGTATCATGAGCTTTTGTGGGCACAGCCCACTTCAGATGACAGGAGTGTCATCAGAGGGAGTCAGATAATAACCAACTTTTTAGGTGATTGATTTTTAGACCCAATCCATTTAATATTGTCCTTTAAATCACAAAGATTGCTACCATGTCAATTCAGTTCCCAGAGGAAAATAAATAAACACATTGTTTCTATATCACAGTTAGAAGCAGCAGCCTACAACAATATCAAAAAAGAACCAAATCAAAAATCCTCAGATGTAACTTTATTCTCTATGTGCTTGGCATTTACCTGCTCTTCTGCCGGCACTGCTGCTTCAAAGGTGAACGGTCCCGTCTGAAAGGCAGAGAGGGATGTTTGTGACAGGAGCCTGGGCCTGGCAGAGAGATAGTGACTAGATGTCTGAGTGAGTTAGTCACGTGTCTTGGGTTGGTTGTTGCATGAAGGGGCTGTGAAATCACAGTCCTGATGGGGATGACATACGGTGCTGCTCCCTTAGGTTGCCTGACTCACCAACGCAGGAATGGTTTCATTTCCTCCTCCAGGCTGTGAGCGCCTTACATAAGTTTTACCCCAAACACCGCGGAGTGAATGTGGAACTTCCACCAACTCCGGGAGTCTCCTGATTTCGATGAAAGGAGGTGGTGGGGCCTCGGGCCCATGAATCAGTCAGGCATAAATGCAGCCCAACTCACCTGATGAGTCTGGGTGACGGTTGCAGCAGCAGCAGCAGCTTCCATTTTCTGGTTGCCTCATAAAGAGCAGAGAGGAAATGACATCTCAATACTTTCCAGTTTTGTTTTGCAAGTTCAGTTACAAGGGGATTGTTTTTGTGGGAGGAGACAGGAGAGGAGGAGGAAGCTACATGCTGCTGCAGCTTCTGTCACCCCTTTGACATACCCAGAGACAATTTTCTCATGGGCAGAAGTCATTCCAATGGAGATACTGAATAGACGAGCCGTTGCTTTACTGCGTCATTCCATGCAGCTGGCCAGATGTGCTGGGTAGAATGAGCTGTGCATTTGCCCTGCATGTCCAAATAGCTAATAGAGTTCTCATATTTTGGGGGGTAAAATCGCTCCCAGAGCTGCCACTGGAGCAAGACAGCTCCACACCCCCAAAACCCAATGTGGGACAGCATGTAAGTTATAGTCTGTTCCTAAATGCCTAAAAAAATGTGTGCTCTTTCCGGAGAGAAGTTTAGCATATCAAGTAAATCAGGTTTTGCTGATTAGAAAGCAAGAAGACAGGGATCTGTCAGCACAGTGTGATGCACCAGTGAGGTTGTATAATAGCAAACCTAACTATGAGTCAAAAAGCTATTCAGGGCTTTTTCAGGGAGATTCTCTCCCCTGTACTAGGCTGATCTCCTGTGCTGTGGATTGCCCCAGCGTGGGAGAGTCCCCAGCAGGAGTAGAGCTGAGAGAGCCACTTCCTACACCACCCTAACCTCACAGCAAAGGGTACAAAGGCTGTGCTAAGGACATTGGTTTTTCATGGCTAGCACATAGTCCCTTGGGGCTATTGCTAGCTCCTCCCCCGGCTAATCTAATCTGTGCTGCGGCCAGGTAGAGAATATGGGAATAATAACTGCTCCCTGCCAGCCCCCATCTCTGCTGCACCAAGAAGATCTCAGCCTCAGCAAAGCATTAGGGCATCAAACTCCATTTAGACTTAGCAAGCATTTTAATATAAATTCACTTTTACCTGAACAGTCTAGCAGCTATTTTATCAATTATAACTGTGACATCAACTCTCTCAGAATGTACCTTAGATTTCAAACTGCATTTTCACTCATGGTACAAGCTTTCTGGGTTTTTTAGCTGGGACTAGATTTTGTTAAATTACGTTAGTTTTCTCCGTGAGTTGTATAATTTAAGATTGGGGTGCAAATCTTCAGTGTGTTTTAAGATTGTGTCCAATGTGCTGACACACTCCAGCTGCTTTGTATTACTGGAGCAGCAAAGGCAGCCACAGCGAACCGTGAAACTGGCTTGTGGTCTTTTGTTAAGCCATTAGGGCTGTGTGGCAAGCAGCTTGAGAGCGCATTTCTCTCGGTTCCTCTTCTCCCCTTTGCTTCAATTCAGTCCTTAATCAGTAAGCCTTGTAACTGGCACCTTCCTCTTTCCCCTCAAGTTCTGGTCATCAGCAATGTCAGGATTCACAATGGACTCTCCAGAAATTAAAAGGTCCTTGTACTCCTGGAATTCAAACAGTGCTCCCTCAATACTCATCTAATAGGATGCTCGCTGCCTCTCACTAACTGACCAAGTTAAGTCATACTCAGCTATAGACTGTGCTTAATCTGTGTCAAGGCTGAGCCCTGGCACTTCTGAGCTTGGCAGTTTGTTGCCATAGCACCTCTAGGCTTGCTGCGTCAGTTATCAAAGTAAAATAATGGCTTCAGCCCCAGCACCTATTTCATTGCAAATTAATCTGCTAGTCTTTAAAGTGCCACAGGACTTCTCATTTTTGCAGATACAGACTAACACGGTTATCCCCTCTGAGACTTACAGATGGAAAATCTGCTTTGCTCCCACCTTGGCATCATACACTCAGGCCTGGTCTTTCTTGCTAAAAAGGATGCATCTTTTAACCCAGAGTAACTACAGTAATATGCATGAAGTATTCTGAGGTGAAGACAAGTTTTACTATGAAGTAAACTTGCAGAGGTCAACTCCCTAAAGGGGTATAGGGCTAACTACCTCAAGCTTACCTCATAGTAAAACCAAAGTTATTTTCCTTTGCTGTTTTCACCTCAAGAAAATTAAATAAAAAAAAATAAAATTAATGGAGATTGCCTATCTCCTAGAACTAGAACGGACCTTGAAAGGTCATTGAGTCCTAGTCCCTGTCCCCTGTCTTCACAGCAGGACCAAGTACCATCCCTGACAAATTTTTGCCCCCAATCCCTAAATGGCCTTTGCAAGGATTGAACTCACAATCCTGGGTTTAGCAGGCCAATGCTCATACCACTGAGCTGTCCCTCCCCCAATACATTAGTTACCCTGAGGTGTAAAAAAACCCAAAACAAACAAAAAAAACCCCCACACAATTATTGTTAGTAGTAAAAGATGCTGATGCCAACATTGGCTTGCTGGCAGGTATCTGCTGTAAGGTAGTGACTGTGAAGGAAATGGACAATGTTACTTGGCTGTCCAGCCTGCTGTAGGGGAAGACTGACACCATCTGTCCCTTGTCCTATTGTTTCTATGTTTCTCTGTCTGTTGTTAATTCACTTTCTTTATCATTCTTTCTCAATATCCTTTCAATTTGAGATATACCTCAGTATTTTATTTACTAGTGAGGATTTATTTATCTATATTGTATGTTTTTACTCATCTCTGTGTTAGCAGGAGACAAGGAATAAAAAATGTCTCCTTGAAATCCCATCCAGTCCTTCTGAAGAGTATAGCTTGAATTAATGGTCCCTCTGTTTAGCTGTGTTTTTTTTCCCTGTATTTGCAGTAGGATCACAGGAGGTCCACTCAGATTCTTTCTTATTCACTTTTGCCTTCCTGCAAGGCTGTGGAGGGTAGCTGTAGAGCTTCTCTAACTCCATGGCTGAAATAGCTTTGGCAGGCTCTTTTACATCCCCAGCAGAGCCAACAGCCTCTATAGGCCCCAGGGCAAGGTACAGCAGGTGGGGCATTGGGCAGAAGGGGCGGGGCTGGAACACCCAGACCATAGTGCTCACCTCCAGTCCTCAGAGCTGCCCAGAGCACACAGTGCTCCAGCGGTGATTTAAAGAGCTCAGGGATTCAGCTGCTACCACAGCTGCAGTAACAATAGCAGCCACAAGGAGCCCCAGACCACTTTGAATTACCTGGCCCTGAGGCAACTACTTTTTTTGTCTCTTCCCACCTCCATCCACAAGCCTATACATCCCTCATCCCTTTGCATCCATCTCCTGGCTTGCCAGGACTCCCTGTATAGTAATATGCAGGGAACAGAGGAAGTGCCAGTGAGCAGCATTCTGCACCACAAAAGGTGTTCACTGCGCTTCTCTAGCTGCTTGGCAACCAGTCCCTGCACTGACTGGTTCCACAACTGCAGAGGCAGGGACTAGATTTGGCTCAATGCAAAAGCTACGAAATAGGGACAGAGGAAAATTATCACCCATCACCAGTTTCCAGGAGCTTCTGGCTCTGATTTTCCCACTGCAGCTGTTCCCAGTAGAGTTATTTAAGCACAGCTGCAAGCTGGAACATTAATTCCAACAGGCCTTTGTCCCTACCCAGGCACTTCTAGCCAATAGAAGCAGAGAATAGTCCACTAGCTCCATCTTCATTCATGGTCCTGAGCCGAGGTAATTAACCCTTTTGTTACTGGACTAAAGTGCAATCCTGTGACTAACAGCTCTGCTTCAGTGGGAATGTCCTTATGAGCCTGGTTTGGGAATCTGCTCTTTCCAGATGCATGTCCTGTTTTTGGCCTACTCCAGTGAGGCCTTGCACTCCACTCAAATGGCATTTTTTATGTTTGGCTGTCTAATGTGTTCACTTGAAAACCTCATCTGACCAATTCCAACGAATATTCTTGACACTTGTGGTTGATTCTGGTGAAAACCAAAAATCCCTGATTTCCATGAAAATCCCCATTTGGTCACTTAGGATATAGGGGTGAGGCAGGAACTGCACAGAGACTGGTGTGAGGAAGAGAGGTTAAGGTAGTGATCTCAGGATTAGAGCGAGTGGGCCCTGCACTCTTATCTGGCCAGTTCTCCTTCACATTCCAGCCTGCCCTCCTGAGTAGGACCTCTTATGCCTACTTGAGCCAGGCCCCTTTTTTCTGATTTTTTCCCCTAAAATCAATAGGTTTCTGTCAGCAGAGGACTGGGAGACTGGCCGTAGAGAATACATCAACACTGCATGCTTACTTCAAAATAAACTATTTTGGAATAGTTATTCCAAAATATCTTATTTTGAAATAGCACATCTACACTGCAGGGAAGCCTGCCTCAGGCTAATTTTGAGGCTTCCCTAATGTAGACATGCTATCTCCATTTAGAACCCCAGAAGGCACTGGGGAGGAACAACTTAGAATTGCCTTGGTGAGGGGCTATTTCGAAATAGCAGCAGTGGAGCGTCTACACACACCTTATTTCGAAATAGCTATTTCAGAATAGGCGTTATTCCTCGTAGAATGAAGTTTACAGATTTCAGAATAAGCCGTTGGTTATTTCGAAACAATAGAATGACTGTGTAGACACATTGTTATTTGGAAATAACGCTAGTTATCTCGAAATAACGGTGACGTGTAGAAGCACCCGAGAGGGTACAGCTTGTCCTGAATAAACAGTGGTGCATTGAACCGAGTTAAGCAAAGAGCCATGGAATAGATGCTATATTTCTGTCTGATAAATGCGGCCTGGCAGTGCTTAGCTGTTCATTCAGAATTAGAACTTGTTAGTTTATCTCCTGCCATAAGTGCTCAAGGAGAAGGTGTGAACTGCAGATATACCCTTTGCTGTGGCTGCTCAGGCAGACCTGATTTTGATCCAGTAGCCCTCACTCCCCTTCCTGTTTTTCATTCTTTGTTCCTCAGCTTCAGTTGAGATCTGGATCCTGTGGCTCCTCACTTTGGGCTGTGGAGAGGCCTTTAGATGTGGGCAGGCCTTTGCCTGCCATTCCCTAGGTCATCAATAGGTACATTTCTCACCTCAGGGCAGGGTAGGGCACCAGGAGAGATGGCAGTTCTACCTTCTGATCTAGAACAGAGAAAGTCCGGGGGCAGAGGAGAGAAGGGGAGCTCCATGTGCTTCAACAGTTTGGGCAGGCTGCCCCCAAAATAAAACCGGGACATGCTTTTTTCGATCTGTTGTCTTCATGCACTGTGTCCTGAGCCACTGTTGAGGAGCTGGTTATGGATTACAAGCCATCTACAAAAGGAGGCTTAAATTTAAAGGCATCAGATTTTAGCTACCCAAAGTGAAACACCTGAATGGGCCCTGATGTTTACAGGACAGGTGCTCATCACTGTCTGAAAACTGGATCCTTCCGAGGTGTTTCAGAGATACCTAAATT